CGGGGCCGGAGCTGTGGGAGGAGCCCTGGCGGGAGGCGCGCGGGGCCGGAGCTGCGGGAGGAGCCCTGGCGGGAGGCGCGCGGGTCTGGGAAACGAGCCGCCTGCCCGGCGCCCGCTAAACGCGGCTTCTCCTTAGGGAGCCCGGCCCCGGGAACTCAGGAGGGGAGCTGCGGGTGTTGGGAGAAAAGAGTTGCCTTTGGCTTTCTAATAGGACTTTCTCTTACCTAAAGTGTACTAGGAAAGGTGTGTTCCCCTTGGCTTTGAAGGTGCTAACTCTGACCATTTTAACTTTCTTTCAGTTCTGTTATGAGTTGCTAAAATCATGGTGAAATGTTGCTCGGCGATTGGATGTGCTTCTCGCTGTTTGCCAAATTCCAAGTTAAAAGGACTGACTTTCCATGTGTAAGATTTTTGCGGTAGTGAAGCCAAGTGTTTTAAAAAGCAAAAAGTAGTTTTACTTAAGTCTTAAGTTTTGAACTTTAGTTCCCAAGTTCTTTTTAAATAACCTTTTTAGTTAAATTTGAAGTGACAGGGATACCTTTACATTTTTATAATTTAGTTTAGAAGTTTAAGATACCTGCCCAAGGCATCAGGCTGGTTAACAAAAATATCATCAAAGCCGCGTTTGCTAGCATTACTTTGCATTTTAACACACCTTCAAAGAAATTCAGTGTGGTTTATGTGTAGCTTACAATCGGACTAAAGGATCTTTGCCCAAATATAGTCTGTCCTGGGATGAAGAAAAACCTTCAGTTGTGGTGGATCTTACTATATTAAATATCTTTTGAAACTTCTTTATAACATGAGAAAAATTTAAATGAGGGCCATATGTCTACAGCGTGATTGGTAGAAAAATCTGACTATTAAAAGTGAAAGTTAAAACATGAATCTTAATGGTTTCCATAATATTTCCCAAGAGTAATAACAAACTGGTTAAGGAATTAATTTAGTCACACCCCTAATTCAAGTAGAGTATCAATAGTGTTTAATTTTAAAATACTTTTTGTATTTTTTCTAGATTCCCCACAGATGAAAATGTCAAAAGAAAATGGGTATTAGCAATGAAAAGACTTGATGTGAATGCTGCAGGCATTTGGGAGCCTAAAAAAGGAGATGTGTTGTGTTCAAGGCACTTTAAGAAGACAGATTTTGACAGAAGTTCTCCAAATATTAAACTGAAACCTGGAGTCATACCTTCTATCTTTGATTCTCCATCTCACTTACAGGTTTGTTTATGAGATACTTCTTACCACCGTTTCTCACTCTTTATGGTACTGTTGAAAAAGCTTAACCATACTTGCTTTGAAATCCTTTTAAGTTTTTAAATATGTAAACTGCTGCTTCAGACTTTGTAACGTGTAGTAGGAGTATTTTACCAATAGCCACTCAGAAATGTTTGTACATTACCAAGGTTTGGTGAAGTGTACTGACCCTAAGAGTTAACATAATTCAATATTTGTATCTGAAAAATAGAGGAACATAAGAGGGTTGAAGTAAAGTTCCAATTTGGCAGTCCTGCTCACTCTGGAGCAAAAGTCAAGAGCAGAGCCTCCAATAGGTCCAGCATATACTTTTAGAGCCACGTACATTTGAACTTAAAGCCTAGGTAGGACTGGAAGGAAGAAAACCAGAAGGCGATAACAGGAGAAGGTAAGGAGAGAAGAGATCTGAAAAAGAAAATAAAAGGATTGGGTAAGTAAACTCTAGTTGAATTCTGTTTTTTCTCAGTGGTACTAGTGCTGTGGGTTGGCTGCCTCACCTTCAATACCTTTCTTGACTTCGTGTTCCTGGAAGTGTATGTGTGTGCTTCCAAAAACTTAGACTGACTGATTCCAATGTGGACCATTCAGGAAGAGCCTGTGGGTTCCACAGTAGTAATTAACCTCCATTGAAAGGTATCTCCTTCCTGACAGCTGGAAACAAGGAAGTAGTCCAATAGTGTAACTGCACCCATGTGGCCTTGGTCACTTTGTATTGTTGTTCTATTGTGGTACCTGAGTTATCAAGTAGAGACTGCCTCACTTTCTTCCTTATTAATAAATGTGCAATGTCTTGTGCCATTTGCTCTAAAGGGTTTTTATTCTGTAGTAAGGTGTCAAATATCTATCATGGTAAGAGGACCTTAAAAAATGTGGGCATAAAAAACTATAAGTTACTGACTTTCAAAAAATATTTCCTAATAAAGAAAATTTTTATTATAGGAAATTAGATATTAAAGAGAAAATAAAAATTAACAATAATCACTTAATCCAGAGATAACACTGTTAACACTCTGATGTGTTAGCTTTCTAGTCATCTGTATGTGTATGTTTATATATAAATTCATCTATATTTATATAGTTTTACGAAAATAGAATTATACGGTATATATATTCTCTTTTTTATTTGCTCCTCTTTTTTTCTTTTTTTTTAAATTGATTTTAGAGAGAGGAAGAGGGGGAGATAGAGAGAAACACTGATTGGTTGCCTCCCACCCCAACTGGGGATCAAACCCACATATATTATTCATTCATTTAGTCCTCACAACAATCATATGAGATAAATACTACTATTATCCTCATTTTACCACTTGGGGAAACAGGCCCAGAGAGCTGGAATACCTTCCCCAAGTCACACAGCTATTAAATGGCAGAGGCTGGATTTCAACCCAGGCATGTTGGCTCCAGAGTCCACTTTTAACTACTGTTTTCCATGATGTTAAATATAGGGTGGGGCAAAAGTAGCTTTACAGATGTTTGTATGGAAACTAATACAAGAATAAATAATACAAGAATAAACTCTGAACAGAATAGATTCAATGACATGGAAACATGGATCAGACTGACGAATGTCAGAGGGATGGAGGAGGGTGGGTGGGTGGAGAGGGAGAGAGTAACCAAAGAATTTATATGCATATATGCACAACCCAAGGACATGGACACAGGTGTGGAGAGGGACTGGGGAGGGGGGTGGGACGGGGTAGAATGGGTCATTGGGGAGAAAAAGGGGCATTTGTAATATTTTAAGCAAAACACAAAACTCATTAGCCTAAAAAAAATAAAATGATTTTCTCTAAAAATAAATAAGTAAACTGTGTTTTGAGTACTTACAACTGTAAACCTACTTTTGCCTCACCCTGTATTTTTTCACAGTGGCTTTCAAATGTTAGCCTACATAAGACTTAATTGAGGAAGCTTTTTAAAATGCAGAAGCCTGTATCGCTCTTTCAGAGAATTTGATTCAGTAAGTTTGTGTTAAGAGTCTAGGAAATCTGCGCTTCATAACATGCACCCAACATGATCATGTTACAGATCTATGGATCACATTTTTAAAAGAATACTGTATGGAACACCAATTTTTTAAACTAAATTTTATATTGAAGTACAACATATATGCAGAATAGTACACACATCATAAGTGTATACATAGACCAGTGAATTTTCACAAAGAGAATAGACTCATGTAACTCCCCTGAAAGATATGGAATATTACCAGTACCCCAGAAGCCTCCCTCATGCTTTTTCCCCAACCACTACACCCACAAAGTTAATTGATGTCATTGTCAGTTATATAAACAGAGTCTTATACTATGTACTCTGGCTTCTTTAGCTCAACATTACATTTGTGTCATTAATTCTCATTGTAGCATGTGATAATAGTTCATTTATTTTCTTTGCACTATAATATTCCATTGTAGAAATAAACTATACTTTTTTCATTCAACTACGAACATTTTTGTCCATGTCTTTTGATGCACTTATGCACACATTTATGAAGAATATACATAACTTCTCTTAGAAGTGAAATTGCTAACTCCTAGGGATGTGTATGTTCAGCTTAAGTAGATATTGTCATAATTTTCCACAGTGGTTTGCCAATTTATAGTCCCACCTTCAGTGTATAAAACTTCCTCTGGTTCTATATCCTTGCTAGCACTTGCTGGTGTCAGCTATATAGAACATTTTTAATGACCATATAGCCATTGATTCTATGTATGAACAATAGTTTATGTAATCAGCCCTCACTATTGTATATAGGTTATCATCTTTTAGTATTTTAAAGAGCACTATAATGAACATTATTGTAGTTGAATTTTTTTTTCTTTTTGTATTCCTCACCTGAGGATATTTTTTCCATTGCTTTTCAGAGAGAATGGAAGGGGGAGAGAGAAAGAGGGAAACATCAATGTGAGAGAGACACATTGATTGATTTCCTCCCCAGGGCCAGAAATCGAGCCTGTAACAGATGTAAATGCCCCTGACCGGAATTGAACCTGAGACCCTTCAGTCCTCGGGCTGATGCTCTAACCACCAAGCAAAACCGGCTAGGGCTATATCTTTGTACATATCTTTATTTCCTCAAACTAAATTCTTGGAAATACAATTGTTGGATCAAAAATTGTACACATTTTTTTAATTTTAAAGAAATCCTGTTTTTTTAATTTTTTAAATTGATTTTAGAGAGGGAAAGGGAGAGAAACATCCATTCGTTGCCTCCCGTACCCACCCCAGAGATTGAACCCACAACCTGAGTATGTGCCCTGACCAGGAATCAAACCCACCACCTTTCAGTGTAAGGGACAACGCTCCAACCAACTGAGTAACACTAGACAGGGCCTCATTTTTAAGACTTGTGTTTGATACAGTTCTCCTAAAGGCTTATACCAATCTATTCCCCTACTAGCAATGCATAAAAATGTCTGCCCACTCTAATCCTCTCAGTATTGTGTTTTTAACTTTTGATAAAATTGACAGGCAAAAATGTCATCTTACTGTTTTAATTCATCTCTGAATGTTAGTGAGTTTCTACATTTTTATATGTTTATTAGCCATTTGTATTTCTTTGTATGTATGTGTGTTCAGGTCATCTTCTATTTTCATACTTTTATAAAATTCAGACTTTTTTGTTGAGTAGCCAGTCCTATATTTTCTCTTGTCTGACTTTAGCCTTTCCTACCTCAAGATTATATAAACATTTCCTAAATTTTTTTATAGTCAATCGTGGTTTTTATCTTTACATAAATTTTTAGTACACAGAATTTCATCATGTTTTATTGTGTATAAAGGATATAACGTTTTCTTAATTAGTTCATTTTGACATAGCTTTTCTCCACTTATTTATGATGCCATTTTTTAAATTCTAAAGGCTTTTATCTACTTGAACTATTTCTAGATTTTTCTGTCTAGGAGAATAGCAGACTTTTTGCTTTTGTTTCTGTGTAATATATTTTTTGTATGTTTTTAAATTGATTTTAGAGAGAGGAAGGGAGATGAATAGAGAGATGGAAACGTCATTTGGCTGCCTTCTGCACGCCCCCTACTGGACATCAAGCCCACAACCAGGGCATGTACCCTGACCAGGAATAAAACCAGTGACCTCTTGGTTCATGGGTTACTGAGCCACACTGACAGGGCAAGTGTAAAATATTTTTAATACTTGTAGGGCATATCTTTTCCTCATTATTACTCTTCCTTTTTAGGAAAATTTGTGTTTCTAGATGAACTTTAGAGTGATTTTGGGAAAGTTCCTTTAAAGTAATTTCAGTAGAACTTAAAATTTACTGACTTTTAAAATCAGTTTCCGTGAAAAGAAATGTATTAATTTTACTATACAAAGTAAGGAAGAAATAAAAATTTTGAAAGGGCAGAAGTATCTACAATAATTGTTATTAACTCTTCTTAACAGGGGAAAAGAGAAAAGCTGCATTGTAGGAAAAACTTCACCCTCAAAACCCTTCCAGTCACAAACCACAATCACCAGCTTGTTGGTGCTTCCTCGTGTATTGAAGAATTTCAATCCCAGTTTATTTTTGTAAGTAAAATTACTCACTGAGCTAATGTTGATAAATTTTTTTAAGTTTCTTTACCTTTATTGTTGAAAATATTACAGATGTCTCCTTTTTACTCCCATTGATCCCCTCCATCCTGCATCCATCCCACCCCCAGGCCTTCCCCAGACCAGTGTCTGTGTCCATGGGTTATGCTTATAAACATACAAGTTTTTTGATTAATCTCTCTACACCCACTGCCCCCTCCCCCCCTTCCCTCTGAGATCCCTCAGTCTATTCCATGCTTCTATGTCTCTGGATCCATTTTGTTGTCAGTTTATTTTGTTTATTAGATTCCACATATAAGTGAGATCATGTGGTATTTGTCTTTCTCTGACTGGCTTATTTCACTTAGCATAATACTTTCCAGTTCTCTCCATGCTGTCCCAAAGGATAAAAGATCCTTCTTTTTTTACAGCTGCATAGCATTCCATGTTGTAAATGTGCCACAGCTTTTTCATCCACTCATTTGCTGTTGGGCACTTGGGCTGTTTCCAGATCTTAGCTATTGTAAATTGCACTGCTATAAACATAGGGGGCTTAAACTCTTTATGATTGGTGTTTCGGGTTTCTTAGGATATATTCCTAGAAGTGGGATCACTGGGTCAAGTGGTAGGTCAATTTTTAATCTTTTGAGGAAACTCCACACTGTTTTCCATGGTGGCTGCACCAGTCTGCATTCCCACCAGCAGTGCACTAGGGTGCCCTTTTCTCCACATCCTCACAAGCACTTGTTCGTTGATTTGTTGATGGAGCCATTCTGACAGGTGTCAAGTGATGCCTCATTGTGGTTTTAATTTGCATCTCTCTGATGATGAGCAATGTTGAGCATTTTTTCATATGTCTCTTAGCCATCAGTATGCCCTCTTTGGAGAAGTGTCTATTTAGGTCCTTTGCCCATTTTTTAATTGGATTGTTTGTCTTCCTTTGGTTAAGTCGTATGAGTTCCTTATATATTTTGGATATTAACCCTTTATCAGATGTGTCGTTGGCAAATATGTTTTCCCATACAGTGGGCTCCCTTTTCTTTTTGTTGATGGTTTCTTTTGCTGTGCAGAAGCTTTTTATTTTGATGCAGTCCCATTTGTTTATTTTCTCCTTAGTTTCTCTTGCCCTAGGAGATGTATCAGCAAACATATTGCTATGAGAGATGTCTGAGATTTTGCTGCCTATGTTTTCTTCTAGGATTTTTATGGTTTCATGCCTTACATTTAAGTATTTTATCCATTTTGAATTTACTTTTGTGTATGGTGTAAGTTGGTGGTCCAGTTTCATTTTTTTGCATGTACCTGTCCAATTTTCCCAGCATCATTTTTTGAAGAGATTGTCTTTACGTCATTGTATGTTCTTGCCTCCTTTGTCAAATATTAATTGACCATAATGACATGGGTCAATTACTGAGTTCTCTGTTTTGTTCCACTGATCTATATGTCTGTTCTTGTGCCAGATTGTTTAGATGACAGTGGCTTTGTAGTATAACTTGATATCTGGTATTATGATCCCTCCAACTTTGTTCTTCTTTCTCAAGATTGTCGTGGCTATCCGGGGTGTTTTTTGGTTCCATATAAATTTTCAAAGTGTGTTCTAGATCTGTGAAAGATGCTGTTGGTATTTTAATAGGGATTGCATTGAATTTATAGATTGCTTTGAGTAGTATGGACATATTAATGATGTTAATTTTCCCAATCTATGAACATGGTATATTTTCCCATTTGTTTATATCTTCCTCTATTTCTTTTTTTCAGTGTACTGTAGTTTTCCGAGTACAGGTCTTTTACATCTTTGGTTAAGTTTATTCTTAGGTATCTTATTTTTTTAATTGCAATGGTAAATGGGATTGTTTCTTTACTTTCTTTTTCTGAGAGTTCCTTATTGGTGTATAAAAATGCCATCGATTTCTGGGTGTTAATTTTGTATCCTGCTACCTTGCTGAATTCATTTATTAAATCTAGTAGTTTTGTCTTTAGGATTCTCTATGTACAAAATCATGTCATGTGCAAATAATGACAGTTTTGTTTCCTCCTTTCCAATTTGGACGTCTTTTATGTTTTCTTCTTGTCTGATCACAGACAAGACTAGGACTTCAGTACTATGTTGAATCAAAGTGGTGAAAGTGGACACCCCTGTCTTGTTCCTGTTCTTAGGGGAAATGGTTTTAGTTTTTGTCCATTGAGTATGATGTTGGCTATAGGTTTGTCATATATAGCCTTTATTATGTTTAGGTATGATCCCTCTGTTCCCACTTTGCTGAGAGTTTTTATCAAAAATGGGTATGGGATTTTATCAAATGCTTTTTCTGCATCAATTGATATGATCATATGATTTTTGTCTTTCAGTTTGTTTATGTGATATGTCATGTTTATTGATTTGCGAATATTATACCAGCCTCACATCCCTGGAATAAATCCCACTTGGTCATGGTGTATGATCTTTTTAATATATTGCTGGTTCTGATTTGCTAATATTTTGTTGATTTTAGCATCTATATTTATCAGGGATATTGGCCTGTAATTCTCTTTCTTTGTAATGTCTTTATCTGGTTTTGGAATTAGGCTAATGCTGGCCTCATAAACAGAGTTTGGAAGTCTTCCTTCCTCTTGAATTTTTTGAAGTAGTTAGAGGAGGGAAGGTGTTAATTCTTCTTTGAATGTTTGGTAAAACTCCCTGTGAAGCCATCGGGGCCAGGGCTTTTGTGTGCTGGGAGCCCTTTGATTACTGCTTCAACTTCGTTAGCAGTTATCGGCCTATTCAGGCTTTCTGACTCTTCCTGATTGAGTTTTGGATGGTTGTATGTTTTTCTAGGACTTTGTCCATTTCATCCAGGTTGTCTAGCTTGGTGACATGTAGTTGTTCATAGTATTTTCTTACAATCCTTTGTATTTCTGTTGGGTCAGTTGTTATTTCACCTCTTTCATTTCTGATTTTGTTAATTTGCGTCCTCTCTCTTTGTTTCTTGATGAGTCTGGCAAAAGTTTATCAATCTTGTTTATCTTTTCAAAGAACCAGCTCTTGGTTTCATTAATCTTTTGTGTGTTTTTTTTGTTGTTTTTTTTTTTTAGTCTCAATGTCATTTCTGCTCTGATCTTTATTATCTCCTTCCTTCTAATTACTCTTGCTTTTCTTGTTGTGCTCTTTCTAAGTTTTTAAGTTGTAGGGTTAGAGAGTCTGTTACAAGTTTTTCTTGTTTTTGAGGTAGGCTTGTAGTTCTATGAACTTCCCTCTCAGGACTGCTTTCATTGTGTCCCATAGATTTGGAGTTGTGGTGTGGTGATATTTTTAAGATGAATTTGTCCTCTCCATTAGTATTAAACCTTTCAAAATCTTTTAAAAGTACCAGGGGTTTACATGTTTGAGGTTTTTTTAAAACCTGTAATATCCAAAATTAATACTGCTTCCCAGGGCCATTATAATTCAATAACAAATTAGAGTTAGTTAAGCCTTTGGTTACATATTTAGTTCAGAGAATGTTTTCACAAGGATATTTCAACCAAGAAAAGGCAAACCTCCCTTTAGATACTATATTTTTATATGGAAATATCTAGTTTAAAAAATAGTTATATCTTTAGGTTTTAAAGAACCATCATAGACATACAGAGTAGTGAAGCTTGCATTTATTTATTCATCTCATTGTCTATTCATGTTAGAACGAGATCTGTTTTACTATCTTAATTACTATCACTTTATAATACTTTAAATCAGGTAGTCTTCCAACTTTGTTCTTTTTCAAAGTTGTTTTGGATATTCTTAGTCTTTGCATATTTTATATGAATTTTAGAATCACTTTGTAAATGTTTACAAAAAGGCCAGTTAGAATTTTGACTGGGATTGTGTTGAATCTGCAAGTCCATTTGGGAAGACTTACCATCTTAATAAGACTATTTTAAGTCTTTTTTTAAGTCTTTCAACCCATGAATTCATTATCTCTTTTCATTTATTTAGGCTTTTAACTTCTCTCAGCGATGTTTTGTAGTTTTCAGTGGACAGGTTTTTCACTTCATTTTTATAAATAGTATTGTTTTATTTATTGCTAGTATATGGAAATTGATATCTATATTGATCTTGTATATGAAAAACTTGCTAAATTCACATATTAATTATCAAAGCTTTTTGTAGAAGCTATCAGATTTTCTACATCATGTTTTCTGTCGTTAAAAACAGTTTTAATTCCTTCTTTCCAATATGAATAACTTTGATTTCTTTTTCTTGCTTTATTGCACTGCCTTGAACGTCCAGGGCTATGCCAAATAGAATTACTAAGGGCTAATCTCCATGCCTTTCCGGTCTCCCCTTATAGAGTCAAATATTCTTCAAATTAAAGTAACTCAGTTACAAATTTAACAATGTAAGTTTGTTTGATTGATAAAATTTAAACTTAGCAGCCCACATTTAGGGAACAAAAACTGTATAGTGATTGTGAGTATCATGGAGTTCATAAGCAGATACCTACCTCGGAATGAGAGGTGCATGGCATCCATAGCATTCTGTACTCATGCCTGCCTAGCCTTCCACAGAACAAAGAGGCCCCAGGCACCGGAAATACTGCTTCCACCCTTAGCCTCTTATGTTCTTTAAACGTCTTACTATCGCCAACTTAACGGTCTTCTCTAAGCACAGTAAATGGAGAAACAGCTGAGGCCTAGTTATAAGCTTTCAGCTATTTGTCTGTGTGTTCTACTAACTTGGTGTTTATGTTTTTAGGAACACAGCTACAGTGTAATGGACAGTCCAAAGAAACTTAAGCATAAATTAGATCATGTGATCAGTGAGCTAGAGGATACCAAGAAAAGTCTGCGGAATGTTTTAGACCGAGAAAAACGTTTCCAAAAATCATTGAGGAAGACAATCAGAGAATTAAAGGATGAATGTCTCATCGGCCAAGAAACGGCAAATAGACTGGAAGCTTTCTGTTGGGTGTATTGTCAGGAGAGCATAGATCAAGACTATATTTCATGAAATAATTTTATGTTATGTTCTACCTAAAATTGACATTGTTCAGCTTTTTAGAAAATAATTCTTATTTACTGTCATTAAATATTATCCATCATTTAGAGTGCTTCTCTGGATCCTCTGCAGCATTAAGCATTATAGTTCTTATCCAAAGACCTTTTTTAAAGAGATTCAGAAATTTGTGCTAGTTTTCATGTTTTTGTGTGACTTGTGGCAATTATGTTTTTATAGACCTAAACTAGTGCCAGGTCATTATTGTAAGATGTTGAAAGATCATGAAAATTCCTTTAGACTAAGGAAATGGTATCAAACCAGGCATGTTAAGCTATAGTAGTAGGAACTGACCACTTCTTCAGCAGCAGCAGATTTTTTACTTCAAAGGAGTACTTTTATTATTATTTACGTAGATAGTCTTTATGGTAAATATGTTGAATTGTACTTTAAATGTATCTTACTATAAAGCAGAATTTATTTATAACACATGTCAATCTTGGATCCAATCCAAGGTGCTTTTGTTATCAGTAATATCAAAAGATCTTTTTACAAGACATCCTGTAGTACTGATCCTGAGGATAGCATATGGTGCGGATCTTTTGACTTTTAAAGTTGTCCAGAGACAAGTTAAGAAGGCCCAGACGAGGTCTCAGTTTCTCAGTGCAGTACATTATTATTCTCACTAGGAGCACTTTGATGTAAACCTGCAGAGCTTTAAAAATTTTAGAAAAGGTCATAAATCTGATTTTTCTCATAGCTAGTTACTCTGACAGTTCTGAACATTTTGTTTTAGGACTGTTACTTCATCATAAAGGTATATCTTCAAAATCTGAATGCCAGTATTAGATGAATACTTTTGATGCTGCTTTATATTTTACAGAAAGAAATGTTGCTGAGATTTTTTTAAAATACAAAATATAGAAGAAACCATTAAAAATGATGTAGCTCTTCCAGCAGAAATAGAATTGGAGAAAGGATACGATATTTTCCTTTAATTGGAAGAGTAGATTACCATCGAGAAGCTTTTATATAGAGAAATAGGTTAGAAAAACAGTAGCTTTAGAATAGTTTCTTACTGAATATACAGATAATAATTCTCTCTATAGCTATTTTCTGATTCATCTAAGTGTCAGAAATTTTGGTTTTCTCCCAATTTCTTAGTAAAAGCAACTGAAATTAAGAGTCATAAACACTATGGATTAGAATAAAATTTACTAGCCCAAAGTCAAATTCTACTTTGATGCATATGTACATATGTGAATCTCATTCAGACATCTCTGCTCTAGTAGTTAGAATTTGAGTGTCAATTATTTCAATGTGTTAACTAGAAATGAACTGCATTTTGTGCTAAAATGTTCATTATAAGTTTGTTTGTGTTATATAAGTATCAGTAAGGATATGGTCACTTGAATTTTTTTATATTTAAGAATTTTGTTTTAATGCATGTTGTATTTTTATGTAGGATTCCAAACCTTCCCTCTGAGTGGGATTTTACCCACATTTGACAGGTCAGCTTTATGTTAAGAAATCACTGAGGTGATTTTAAAAAACTCATTAGCTACCCATTATTTATTTTGGTTGTTTAATTTTGAATTCATAATGGACACTCTAAATGGGAAATTAGGGTGTGACCTTAGGTTTTATGGCGATTCTGTGACAGATACTGAGATTTTTTTCCCTCTCCCTGTTTTTGAGTATAAAAATTAAGATCAGTGGACAGTGGGAAAAGTAAAAGGATAGATCCAAAGCAGTGTGTCCAAATTCTAGATCTCCACAGGCTGCTTAGAATAAGTCAAGCCCGGGAGAACTTCGCAAAAGTCAGGTCCCAGCTGCTGCCACTCTCACAGTTGCCAGTCGCTTTCCTACTTGTGTTCAGAATGAATTTAGCCCTTGGGTTCTTTTTCATTGGTCTCAGTATCACTAAGCAAGAGAGAACTGTGGGAAAAATATTGGTTTCATCAATGACTTGGAGCTACTCATTTGCTCTTTATTTTTATGGAGAAGTGATTACCAATAGAAATATGACATAACAAATAAGGCCCTCCCCACCTGTCTCCCCAAACAAATGCCTGAACACAGTATATACCTCGGTTCCCTGTTCCCAGAGAACAGTTCTTGGCCTGGGGAAGGACTGTCCTATGCAGAGCAAAACCAGTCATCCCCCATCCAGAGGTTCCTCAAGCAACCAAGGCCAACCTAAGGGTTTCACTTTGCTTTAAAGTTTGGAGTAGCTTCTGGATTCTGGAACAAGCCAATATACCAGTTCAACCTCAGCACCAAATCAGGTACGAAGGACTTGACATGCATTTTTCTCCATATCAAGTTTAAATCTTTAGACTTTGGTTCCTAAAGGTAGTTACAATTATAGCATAGTCTTTGAGAAAAAATGAAATGTATTAAAATATGTATACTTAGTTTTGTTACAGAAATAATTGGGTGAAGAATCCATTATATATTTGAAAATATAAAATATTTTCTTTAGTAATGTACTCTATGTGGTTTTTGTACATTTAGTTATTCAATAAAATAAACAGAAAAATCAAGAGTTTGCCTTAATTTCTTCCACATTTCCCCCTCCACCAATAACTTTAATAGCATAGAGTCTACTAGGTTAGATGACCCAAGTGGCAGGCCTGCTTCCACCACAATATGGACCTGCCATAGACCCCTTTCCTGCTCTGGGCCTCATTGAGAACTGACAGCCTTTCATGTCACCCAGTCTAGAGCAGAGAGCAGTATTCTTAAGTGTGAAATATGCTCCTTCAGAACCCAAAGAGGCCTGTTAAGCATTGTGCTTCCATCTTCCTAGTGAGATGCAAGTTGTATTAATGTGTTTTGTACTTCAGTGTGGATGTCCTAGCATGCCCCTGATCCCTGGACACTCCTCCCCCCAAATTTTACTGATGAAGGCCCCTGATGCCTCTCTCCTCACTGTTCACTGCTCTATTGGATGACGCTCATGCTCAATAGATTTCATACCACAAAATCTAAAAATTTAAGTGTTCAGTCTCATTTAATATTTATCTTAGGCACATAAAGAAGTTTATAGACTAACAATGTATTTACCTATTGCATGTAATGCTTTCAAAGCCTCATACACCATCATGAGGTCATGAGAGATACAAAGATGATAAAATGGGGCATTCATAACTTATACGGGGACACACAGGTATATAACACAAGTATAGAGAGGTGGGCAATTGGCAGGACTATGGCAATGAAAGGAGGCACCGAGACTATGAAGCTAATGGAGCTTCAAAGTTCCAAAATGGAACATGAGTGTGTCAGTGTGCATTTTTAAAGTTCTGTCCTAAGACCCGGATTCTGTTAGCACCCTCCTTGGATGTGACAATAAGAGACCACCCAGAACAGAACCAAGAAACCTACGTTCCAAAGCCAAATCTGTCACTTTATTACATAAAGGACCTGGGCCAAGTTAGCTGAATCTCTGAGCATTTACAAAGTGGACAATAATACCTTCCTCACCCACCTGTGCGAATTGTATTTGTGTGTAAAACATAGACCATACAATGAGCCCTCCATATGTTTTTCTTTCTTTAAATCCCATGCCAGAGTTAACAGGCAGAAGGGCAAAAAGAGTGGCAATGCATTTGACAGGGAATGACAGTGGTCCAAGCAGCAGGAGCCAGGTAGGCTGTTCGCGCTTTCAATAACCGTCTCCCCGTGGCAGCTCAAAAGCAGGGGAGGAACATTCTCCCCCTGAAAGAGAATATTTTATTTCATCACCATCCTCTCCATTCTCCCACCTCCACCCTGAAAAGCAGTTTAATCCGTCTTAGATATATCTTTCATTGACTCATTTATTCAACTTCATAAAGCACTTCAGATGGTGCTACTCAAACATGGTTCACAGACAAGTGTACAAGTTCAGGAGCTTGCACCAGAAGGTAACTCAGCAACATCTTGAAGCACACTGTTTAGTTAAGTCAACATTTTTTTCATAGTAAGATTTTCTCAGTGAATGAAACTGTTGATTTACATTCTGGAACAAACCTTATTTCATTCTGGACCAATAAAAAAGAGTTCACAGGGTAGCGATTTTGAATAGCACTGTCCCCAAGAATCCAGTCACTAAATAGGCAACCTTTGAATTAACCTTAGCTCATTGGTTTGTGGTCTGTTGACAGCAGAAGAGACAGATTTGTGTCAGATAACAAACTTCCCAAATGCTTGCAGTAGCTCAAGCTTGTGCAGTTGAAAAATAACATCACATCTGACTCAGCAGATCTGGACCTCATGCTTTTGAAAACACAAGAAATGTTTTATCAAACAGAGAGAGCGAAGTGTTCAGGCTGTGCAGAATGCTAACCACAAATACTGGCGATGAGCACCTTGTGGAGACAGGCATTCCACTGCAGACTTGCCAGCAAACTGCTCAACATACAATTTCACTAAAAATGAAGGGGACTGGTGTTTATGAAAGAGATTTTGTAATGGTATGAAATGTTGCCAGGCTATGCAGCTGAAGGAAATTACCCCTGAAATCCTGAGGATTTCAAGAAATGTTTCGGTTGCCATTCTCATTATGACACTTGTAGACGAGTCTGAAGTAGGGAAAGTCATATTGAGGTGTACATTTCACCTTTTTCGTGGCCATCACCATTATCTGGCCATATTTTGTTGAAAAGATGGGAAATGCTTTTAACCAGCAATAAAATGTGGCTATCCAAAAAAAAATCAAACAAGACCCCATAAGGACTAGAAATTTTTAGAATGAAATGAAAGTATATTCTATAATTTAAGTCTAAAACCAGTCTTGGCAAATTATTTTTAAATGTACCTTATGGCACAGGAACTCTGAATGCGCCCAAAGGGAGCTATGGGAGGATTGTTTGTAACAGCAGAAAATGGAAAGCAACCCAAATTCCATCAAGTGGTAAATGGATAAATAAAACCACGGTGCACCCATATAATGCTGTAATAAGCAACAATTCAAAAGAAAGAGATCAATCTATATGTATTGGCATGAAGAGAAAAGACATTTTAAGTGAGAATAAATAGTATAGACAGCAACTCAAAATATCCTGTTTATATTAAAAAAATTTAAACCCACCTGCAAAACAATTCCTAATCGCACGTGTGTATAAATACACAGAAAAAAGAATTGAAGGATATCTGCCAAACTTAAACGTGCTTCTGGGGAGGGGAGCATATAGTTCTTGTGACAAAGACAGAGTGAGATGAAAGAGGAAGGGGGGGGAATGCAGGCAGGGAGGGAGGGAAAGAAAATAAAGGAAATTACAATAAGAGCTTTCTTTATATTTAAATAAAAACCATCTCATGTCTGAAAAACTAGTGGTCGCTTGTGATCATTACCCTCATCACCTCCTTGAGACATTGACTAAAGTTGGATCCAGGTCTTGAATTGCTACCATTTCCCGTGAAACTGGATATTTCAAAGAACTCTCTCAAACCCATAGCTTAACTATTGAGAGTTACAGAAACCACTGTCTGGGTAGGTGTGGTTACAGATTTCATTTAGTCACCTAGCAGAACCCGAAAAAAAAAAAAAAATGCCCTCATCCCTGCTGAGAACCTTCCAATCCAGCTTTCCAACCCGCTCACTGCCTCAGGAAACCAAAACACCGGCCTTCAAAGTTCTGGTATCTGAGAAGTGTTGCACACTCTCATAGAGCTTTGCACAATTTCATAAATCCTCGTATTTCTGCCTTTCCTTTGTTTTATCTCAGATGCCCAGGTTCTAGAGGAATGTTGTCTGAGGCAGAAAGTTATTAATTCTCATCATAATGACAGCTAACACAAAGTGCCCATCTCTATCCCAAGTGCTTAAATGTCATTGACTCATTTCACCTCGCAACAATCCTATGAGGTAGGTACTATTATTATCCTCATTTTACAGATGAGGAAATTACACAGAAATATTAGGTAGTTTGTCCAAAGTGTAAAGATAAATATCCTCATGCAAGGATACTCACTGTCGTCAACCCTAATCTACAACGGCAGCCCGGAGGTTCCGGCTCACTAAACGTTGAATTGCTGCTAAATAGTCACGACATCTGAAGGCCAGGCTTCAACCATCCCATTCGGAAGCTCCAGTTGGGGCCGTTACGGGCCGAAGAATGAGACGGGGACTCACCCTGGGTCTGGCGCTGGGGAGGGCCCACAGTTACTCATTCCCACAACCCGGGTCGCCTGATGCTACCGGCAGGCGCACAGGGACAGCTGAGCACTCAGGCAGTCACCTTACCACGCACCCAGGCAAGGCATTCAAGCTTCCATGGGTTTCCCCCGACAGGAGTCTGTCCAGTCACCTGGCTTCTCTCAGCCCTCAGGAAGAATGCACAGAGTAATAAAAAGATTGATCCTAATCTCTATTAATGCTTTACCCAACCAAAAGAACTGACATAATTTTCCACTCTGTGTCTATATCTATAGTAGTTTCTAATCAAATACAGGAGTATAAAAGTTAATAGCTCTTCCTTTCCACTTAGCAAGCAACACTAGGCTTAAAAGAGAATCTTTATTCGCTACGTGATCTGCTACTATAAGACTGTGTCGGTAATATTTCAGAATCAGTTTTAGCAAACCACATGCAGTACACTGTATATGGCTTCAGGTACAGCGGGATCCAGGTATTCAAATAAGGTCAGAATCTGATCTCTCCCCACTCTGCTTTATCAAGTAGGCTCTCCCCTCATGTAGGTATTGCCCCTTCACAATTTCAAGTCCAAAGGCACTTGTGTGCCTCTTTCCCAGTCACTCATACAAAAGTCATAGGACTAGTTTTTCCTGGGCCTGGTTGACCTGGCTCGAGTCAAAGGCCCATCCCTAAACGTATCGCTGTGGCCATAGAACTGCTGTGCTATCCTTGGCAGCTGTAGGTTACAGGCAATCTTGGAGCCAGGAGAATGAGAACTGACGGTTCCTCAGAGGGAGCTCAGGGCTAGGTAATCAGGAGAGCTGGGGTGGATCCTGGGCTGGGCAAGCATAAAGCACTGGCGGTGGAACTCAGAGCGCGGGCGCTCAGTGTGCAGTGTGGGAACACAGCAGCTAACTGAAGACTTTTGTTAGTAAACTACTTCATGTACGTTTGTCCACCAGGGTAAAGAGGAACAGTGTAGGAGTATTTTGGTCCTTTTTATGGTTATGGTAGATAAAGCTGCCTTTAAATGCACTATTTGGTTAAATGGGAAACATACAGAATCATTTTACTATATTTGTTCTGGAGATTACATTCTATTCCTGATCTTGGGACAGAATGGTTCTCCAACTCACTGTCAACCAAATTCATTCACACTCGTTCATCCGTATGCTCATACATTCACCCTCAGATAAATGTCACCCTTTGAAGTGAGCCTTCTAAGCAGCATCCCGCATACTCTCTGCAATGGACTGTGGTTCTTCCCACTAGCCCTGTGCAGTAGGCCCATGGTGCTTGTGACATTTCTGAGAGAATAAAACAAAAATTTATTCTGAGGGATTTAAAAAATTTTTTACAATAGAAAGT